CAGAGGTGGGAATGCCAAAAGTGTCTTTGCCCCCTGGTGCTGAGAACCCTTGCTACGCCACTACTACCACCTGACTAAATTATCATTCTGCTTAAATTAAGAACTTAAAAAACTGGAAGAAACAGAGAACATTATAAAGTCAATTACATTGAAAGCTATTTAACTCCATCAGCTTGGACACAAGGAAGGAAACTTTTCTGGTAATCTTTGATTTGCGAGACAAAAGTGCATATATGTTACACATTGAAAAAAAACAAAAAACATTGAAATTACAATAAACTCAATTAATGTCATGAAAATAATCAATTAACTGAAATCAGTGTTTCCAATCCTTGCAACTATCCAGTAATTACCATTATGATTTGATATTATCATTTTTGATTAATTCAAGTTTTTATTCAGTTAAATCAATTAGTGGCTCTATCATAATTTCTCACTGTTTCAACTATCCATGTATTAAAATATTGCCAAAAATATTAAACACAAAGCTACACAATGGGCTGTCTGTGCTCTGCCTACACTAGATATCAAAACCAGATTATTTGGATTATAAATTTTTTTAGCCATCTCATAACACAATAATCAATATATTGAATGTAATCAATTCACCCTATCACAACAGGCTTATATATTTTACAAGTGTATCTTTATGAAATTTGGCAAACTTTCAGTAAACTTTAAGTCTTTTGTAGACAAAAAATCTAAACTTTTAATGAAGTATTTTTATTAAAACTTTGTCTGTAATTATATGGTGTCAGTGTTGACTGCTCCAAGTACAAAGTGATTTTCATGTTAAGATTAAAATTAGCATTTTCTTAGATTGAAAATGTATTTCCAATAATTCTTACCTTCTCTCACACTACAGCTATTATTTGATTGTTAGGGTTTCTTTTCCTTTGCCCATCTAAGCATTGTTCTGATTTTTTTCTCCCTTGCTCCAGTATTTTATTCCCCACTTAATTGCCCTTGGCAATATCTGTCTTGTGACACTGCACCTACATCAATATGCTCTCTATCCTGGTACTGTATATAAGCATCTCCTTCAGATAAGATTGCCACTTTTTCGAAACTGACCCAATCTGCAATCTCTAACACTAGCTCTTACTGAGGAAGAAGGATGGGAGAGTGTGAGAAGAGGTAAATAATACAGCTATTATTTGACTGTTAGAGTTTCTTTTCCTTTGCCCATCTAAGCACATGTCTGATTTTTTCTCCCTTGCTCCAGTCTTTTGTTTTCCACTTAATTGCCCTGGTACTGCAAATAAACACCTCCTTTAGATAATACTGCCACTTTTTCGAGACTGACCCAATCCACAGTCTCTAACACCAGCTCTTAGTGGAGAGAAAGGGTGGGAAAGTGTGAAAGGAGGAAAGTATTATTGGAAATACATTTTCGATTTAAGAAAATGCTAATTTCCAAAACATACTTACTTTAGCTAACACTACAGCTAGAATCTCACACTGATATGGTGGAGGGGCCGGTGAGAGCATTATCAATACAGAATGTGTCTGCATAGATGGTGGGCATGCCAAAAGAAATAGAAGATTGACAACCTAGTGAGGGAACTGCACTATATCCAGAACAGGACCTAAATCGTGCACTGCAGGTGGAATTTAAGTGATCTGTCATCATTGGCCAGGCTCCAACTAGGTAGCTGAGGTCCCACTGCTTGGGGTTGGAATTATAAGGCCATGGCCCATAAATCCCACACTAGTGGCTATGGCATTTGGACCACAATATATATATATATTTCTGAGTGGATCTCAACCTGTAGCTATAGAGTGATGTGTTTTGAGCCACCAGAATCACGACGAGAAGGTAAGCAACACCGAAGCAGACAAACCCTCTCCTCAACTTGAAGAAGTCTGAAAGGCAACACCTCAAACTTGGAATGACAAGATCTTGTATGCCATACTCAACCTGAAGAAACAGAACTCATCGAGGCTGGAATTATGAACCCTCATCCTCACTCCTCAACCTGAAGAAGTCCAACAGGCAACACTCCAAACTCGGAATGACAGGATCCCGTATGCCATACTCAACCTGAGGAAACAGAAATCATCCGGTCTGGAATTATGAACCCTCATCCTCACTCTTCAACAGTGTGAGCAAGGTAAATTCCACTTTCCCCCAGAATTATTGGGAGGACATGGAACAAACTGTGCTCAACCAAGTACCCAGGATGGGACCACTCTGTGTTTGGAATTATGAAGAAACAATGGACCCCCTCAATGAACAATGTACTGAACCAATATTCTTCAAAAAAAAAGGGCCACACTCAACCTAACTGGATAGCTGAGCACCAAATCTGATCCGGCATTACAAGTAGGCTGGTTCTGCTCCTACCAATATCTGGCAAAAAAACATCCAGGGTCTCGGGTAGGGCCCTCAACTTTGCCCTCTTTCCCAAGAATGAAGAAAAGTCACTCGAACACTCTGGAGGAATAACCTCTGTCCACCACCCCAGTGACTGGAAATCAGGAGTGGGAAGAACTCCCTAGCTTAATGAATGTGTATATCACGTTAGCCTGTCAATTTACGCAACGCATATCTCATGAAATAATACGTAAAAACCATACAATGTCCTATAACTATCATAATTTTTTTAGCTTTCTAACTATGAGATAATAGCCATTAAAAACTTGGCTAAGCTCGTCAATGTTTGAACTGGAAGCAATATAGACAATTCTCTATAGAGAAAACCATGTAATATAATACCATCATTTGATAGATGAAAAACTTTGGCTTTCTATTTGTTCAAAATAATATAGTATTAAACATCAGAGAAACTACTGGCAATTTGTAAAAGAGAAGATGTGACAGGTGAGGATGGCAGGAGGGTCCGATTTTCTACTTTATGCCTCTGAAACCAAATAAGATTGAAGGCTATAAACATTATGCTTTGCCCGAGTAATAATTACATTATAATGAGTAATTTACTTTAAATTCCATACTTCTCAGAGGAGTGGTAAATAAATTAGAGAGGAGGGAAGACATTAAGAGCAAATGTTACAGTTCTCATACTAAGTGAGATTGAGGATTTTTTAAAATATTTCCTTATAAATTATGAACTTAAAACTTACATAATATTAAAATTTGATGTATTAACTATGTTTTGATACCAAGTTTATTCATACAGATTGATAATAAAGTAGTTTAATTAAAAACTGAATGTAACTCTGTAAAAGGTTACAGATCTATGACCTTCCCAATGCGAAATGGTTAATGAGCATGATGACTAATTAACTACCAAATTCCAATAATGGCCTAGATGTATGTATGATACATAGTTAAAAATTAAATTTGTTTGTTTTTTCTAGTGGTGATAAACAAGACAAATTTAAGATACATAATATAGAAATATGTTGTTTAGACAATGTACTAATGATGGATTAAATATGCACATGTATGGCTTTATTTAATTCTTAGCTAAATTAAAACACTTCTCTTAAAATCAAAATAATGAATTTTCATTATGCATACATAACATAAATATAATTAGTACTTTATATCATTTGTCACTTCATAAAAATGGATTATGTTACCTTTATCAAATTTGTGAAAGTTTTCTTTTTATTAATAACATATTTTATGATTTATATTTACTAGATACATAGATGCAAAAAGGCAGAAACTTTCAATTCATATAGATATAAGTTTTAATAAAATGCACATACCTAACATAGAATCGTTTAAAGTACACTGTTGCTGTAGCAATGACTTGCTGTTTCACTTTCAGTTGTTCACCCAATGCTTGGATAACTATAAATATAAACAAACTTAAATACAGTTTAAGAATCTCCGTTCACCTACACATATGCTTATTTTTGTGACTACTTATCAGTCTGTATAATTTGCTTTTTTGTTTTTCTAAATACCCTGAAAGTTACAATAAATAAAATTTAAATACATGCTAGGTAGGATGCAACATATTTATCAGATATTTCATATAGTTCTACTAATTACCAGGTGAGAATTACTGAAAAATATTTTTAAAAAGTCTTGATTTAAATATAATTCACAATTGCATAATATAATTAAGCATTAGATCACATTGTCATATCTTACAATTAAGCTGACAAGCTTCTCCCTTAATACTGCATTAATTGATTAGCCACTACTTACAAAATTTAGTATTAATGCACTGAGATACTCATTAGTATAAAAATGTAGAATCACTAGTGATTTAATAATAAAAAAAAGACTCATACACTCAAATAATGTTCAGGAATACTATTGTTGCCCAAACACAGCTAACAGTGCACATTTTTAATAACTAAAATAATATATACAATACATTTATGAAGTTTACTATTTAATGTACAAAAATATACTCAGCATTATATTATCTACATGTATAACACCTACAGTGTCTGTATATCAGAAAGATATTAAAACCTTTTTCTGATACATTATTATACCCTACTACTAACAGATACATCATACATCGAGTAGACAACAACAACAACAAACAAAAACATCTGGCTGTCACACTTATGTTTATGGCTTTAACTACTTCTACTAATACTTCAAAAATGTTTAGAAGGAAATGAATAATAATAATAATGAGAGTACTTAACTTACAATTTGAGAAATATATCATAAGTTTCTGATACTCCTCTTCAGTAAGGACTTGAAGATCTGAATGTCTTTCTCGCTGTAGATCTTGCCTATCTAAAAGCCACTGCTGACTATTAGAAAATGAAGGATAATTTAGTAAGAGTAAATAATATGGACTCTCACAATGATCTGAACTATAAATACACAAATATATAGCTAAATAACACATTATACTGATGACTGCTTGCAAAAATTTCCTTAATTAAAATATTGTAAAATCACATCACCATTTTTTTCTTTTAGTTTCACTAGTGAGAAGCAAGAATTTATACTAATTAATTTATTTCATAAATACTATTATGAACATTCAAAATAGCTACTTTTAATATATGCCATCAAAACCTAGTTTCAAATTTAGATTAAGTTAAAAAATAATTTTGAATTAAATTTTAAGTTAAAAAATTATAACTTTTATCATTTAAATAGAAGAAAACCTTTAAAAAACAGTGCATTATCACACAGACTAATCTTAGCCTCAACAGTGACTGTGATGTATTGCTACAGTATTTTATAACCTTATCTTTTTGGAAAATTATGATATTTTAACATCATGTAAAGTTGACTGTCAAAGGAGACGGTATGAAAAATGTAATCAGATTTTATTTTCAGATTCAATCATCAAGTCCAATTCTGATAGGCATAAAGTATCTGACTCATAGGTGAAATTTAAGAGTTATTATTTAAAGTGATTGAATTTTTGTGATATTTTAAATGTTAATCTATAGGATGAACTAACAAGTGCAAGTAGAACTTTATAAGTATTACTACAGTGACAGTAAGGAAATGAAGACATAAGTAAAATTTTATAAAGTAAAATACCAAAAAGTGAACACAAAACAGGATTTCCTAAATTGAGGAGTTTTAGTCCTAAGCCAAGTAATGTAACTTCTAGTTCATAATTCCAAGATGTAAAAACTGCATTAAAGGACTGATTAAAAAAAAGAATTTTCACAATCCAAATTCAAGGATTATTTTTGTTCATCATAAACAGTTCAAACAGAGTATCAGAGAAATGCAATACTATTTTCTGGCATCCTGTTTTCTTTTTGGTTTCTTACATAATCATCCCTGTCTGCCAGTGATTGTAAACACATTGAAAATGTTACAGTACTTTTCAAATCAGAACAAAGTTAAAATTTACAATTTTATACAATAGAAACTACAGGAAAATTTTAAATCAAAAATCAGAAATTGAAATGTACAAAAAATGAAATTTTTATTGGATCTTAAAAATCATATCACTATGCAATTTTCTTGAATTTTCAAAACTGTGAATTCACACAAATATCACTTATAAAAACAAGTTTTTTTGCTGAAGCTACATAAGCTGTTGAAAGTTCATTTCATATATTTCATGAAGTAGTTTTGTTTTTTGCATGGCAATACAATAAACCATACAACAGGGCATTGTTTTGACACAAACATTATCAATACTCATTAAAGAACACCAATAAGGATTTCTTTCATAAACCATATTCTTTCTCTTATAAATATATCTCTTTATCTTAAAATACATGTATATTTTTGCCAAACTCATAAATCAGCAGTATGGAGTGGTGTTAATGATGAGTTAAAAAACTGTGACCAAAACATAGCTTAGCTAGGACAACTTCCTCCTTCCAGATAGAAGATGGCCGAAGGGCCACAGAAGGTTTGATTTGGAAAAGCTTATGACATTTCTCACCTCAAGTTGACTGCCAACTGGCGCAAAGCCGTGCATTGAATACAAGACCATAGTACATATATGGGACAGGCACAGCTGTGACAGCACCAGAGCAGACGGACTTAGCTACAGTGTCAGCAAGCTCGTTCCCGCAAATATTGATGTAGCCAGGTATCCAGAAAAACTGAATGGTAACAGAAGATAGAGTAAAATGGGCCAGTCATTGTTGAATATTGATGAGAACTAACGTTAAGTGACTCCAGGGCCAGTAGAGAGCTAAGAGAACCAGTGTAAATAGTACAATCACTGTACTGCGTAGCTTCTACATGATCCAGGGCAAGAGAAATGGCATACAACTCGACAGTGAACACAGAAACTGTAGAGGGGGTCCTGCGAGCAACTACTGAGCCACAGCCAATCATGGCAGAACCTATAGAGTCACCTGATTTCAAACCATCCGTGTAAATGGGAATAGAAGGATTGTTCAAAAGAAGTTCTGCAAAGAGAAGACGGTACTCTCAATCGGGGGGAGTCTCGGTCTTCCTCAGATGACTCAAGGAAAGGGCAAATCTGGCAATGGTAATAAGCCATGGAGGAATGGGCTGGTCATTGGGGACAGCAATGTTATCCAATGCCAGACCAAACTCAGCCAGTTGCACCTGGATATGAAGGCCAAAAGATGGAATTGCAGACCATCTATTCTGAAAGAGCATTTCCCACCGAGGAATAAAGACACAACCTCAGGTGGGATGCTGTAGAAAGGGTCAAAGCTTGGTAGCATACTGTAGAGAAAGTTGCAAACGGCGGAGGTGTAGAGGAGATTCGTGGGACTCTGTGTACAAACTCCAGACTGGAGAAATGCAGAAAACCCCCATGCAGAACCAAAGCCCCAGTTGGTGAATGGGGTCCAGCATTTTCAAGGCCAAGGTCCTTGCAGAACCATTGACCAGAGACCCATAGTCCAGTTTATATCGAATGAGGGCATGATAGATCTTGAGCACAGAACAACGATCCACTCCCCAAGAGGTGGAAGAGAAGACACAGAAGATTTTTAGTGCTCTTGTACACTTGACACGAAGCTGCTTTATGTACAAAATGAAAGTAAGCTTATGGTCAAAGATAAGCCCCAAGAACTTTGCCTAAGGGACCACAGGGAAAACAACATCACCAAGACAAAGGTCAGGATCAGGGTGTAGACCCCGTTGGTGGTAAAAATGCATCGAAAAAGAAAAGGTAAAACTGTTTGCTGTGGTCCACTTCAACAAGCGATTGAGGGCAGTCTGAAGCTGTCACTTAATAAACACCATGTTTGACGACCAACACGTGATGTGGAAGTCATTGACATAGAGCCTGTTTGCAACAGTAGAAGGAAGTTGTGTAGTGATAGCATTAATCTTGATACTAAAAATTGTGAATATCAAGCTCAAGACACAGCCCTGAAGGACTCCAAGTTCTTGTGTGAAAGAATGGGAAAGTGTCGAACCACACGGAATCAGAATCACCCCACGAGTAAAAATGTGTAGATAGCCACACACACAACCCATAGTAGTGGAGGTCCCATAAAATGCCAAACCTCCATGTAGCGTCATAAGCCTTCTGAAGATCAAAGAAGACCAAGATATGATGCTCTCTCTTGAAGTTTCAAGTCGATTCAGGTGGTCCAAGATGGAGCACTGTCGACACAACCCACACTGGGTGGGCAAGAGGAGGTTGTTTGATTCGAGGAACCAAACAAGACGAGCATTAACCATCCTCTCTAAGACCTTACAGAGACAACTAGTCAAAGCAATTGGACAATAATTAGAAGAAATTCTTCCCAGACTTAGATAAAGGGAGGACAATAGCCTGGTGCCAAGCATCAGGAAAAAATGTTCTCCTGCCAGATCTGGTTAAAAATAACCAGAAAAATAGCAAGTGAGGCAGGAGAGAGATGGTGCAACATCTCATAATGAACATCATTTGATCTGACCGATGTAATGCCAGACCGAAGAAGAACAAGCTTCAATTCCACCAGTGTAAAGAGGTGATTACAATCATAGAGAGATCAGCCCAAAAGGAAAGAGGTGCTCACTCTGCCCGGGGAAAAAACAGAAATACCAGATGCCTGAGAAAAGCTCTCGGCCATGCTCTGTACATTGGAGAGCAAAATGGAAAGGGGATGGGAAGAATACCTCCCATTAACCTTCTGAATCTTGTCCAATATTACTTTGGAACTGGTGGTAGAAGAGATACTACTTATGAACTTAATCCAAGATTTCTTTTGGCTTTGATGTCTGACCTGCCGAGCATGCGATTGGAAAATATATATACATTTATATATATTTATTATTTTTATTATATTGATCTTTCAACTGTGTCTAGCTAACAATACAGAAGTTACAATGATGCAGCACACTTGCACTCATGTTACCATATCCAATAATATAAAACTGACCTTTAGTCTTCACAAAGTGACATGTCTTGGGTGTGTTTTAGTGGACTAGTATTTCATAAAATACAGTTACATTTCAATTATTATACATTATATATGTATACAGATTATTACTATTTCGAAATAAGTTCTTAAACTTATTTTTCTTAAATCATAGAACAGTAAATAAAGAAGTAAACCAAACAATTATCTCTTCTAGTTATGACCTTTGTACTCGCAGAGGATGTGAAATGAAATTTTTTTTTTAGTTTTATATACACATTTGAAATAACCAAAAAATCATAAATTACTATATTGGTACCATAGAATTCCACTATAATTTATCAAGCTTAATAACTAAGCTTTATTTGGGTAAAAAAAATGAAATTTCAAGCAGACTAAAGACTCAATTTACCAGCTTGAAGTTTTGCATCGAAAGACTGAGATGATGTTGTAATACTTGAAAATGGCTGAGAAAGCCACTAGGGTTATATTATGAGCTTTTGTTTCATTATTCACATGTCATAGACAGAAGTGTATATAAAGGAGTGTTTCCTAAAATGGAAAGAGATGACTGGGGACACTGTGTTTGATTCAGTACATGGGCGATATCTCAGCAAATAAAAGAGACAGGAGGTTCTTATTTTATATTCTAGCTTGTCAATATCTGTAATTTGTGTTCCTAATTCATACAGAACTATAGACTTTGTATTTTGACAACACAAACATCTAATTTGAACCAGTACTACATTCAACATACCATGTGACACACAAAAATCGATGTTTAGGTGTGTTTTTTTTATTATTTTTAAACTAAGAAATTAAATAATGTTTAATACTAAAACTTGAATTATAATTTACAGTTTGATACCAAACTTATTGATATAAATTCATAAAATAGTAGTTTAATAAAATTTTGAATGCGAGTCAAGAAACACAATGACATGGCCTTTGACCCATGTGGAGAGGGTTAAGTCTCCCTAACTCTTTGCTAAGCT